CCCGTATAACTTTTTATAAGCCGGATATCATCGTAAATTTAATTCGAACAATTTTATCAATTCTTTCATTCAGATATATTACTATCTTACAATTGTAAGATAATAAAAGACGAATTATTGTTTATGAACGAACGATAGTTTATATAGTTTCAAAGTTCTCGATTATTTTCTATTCTTTATGATTCGTTAAGATCAAAATTTCAATAATAATGAAATCATCGATCGAAGATTGACTTCTTTTCCTTTTTTTTTTTCTTTTTTTTCTTTTCTTTTCTTTTTCTTTCCCCCTTAAACTACGAATCATTTAAATTATTTAATCAACTTTGGGAGAAGATTTTTCTCTAATGAAAAAAAAACCAAAAAAAAAAAAAAAAAAAAAAAAGGAAAAGAAAGAAAAGATATGGAAAAGATAACGAACGTACTAATAAGTTAGAAAAAAAAAAAAAACACCATGAAAAAGGGAAATTTACTTACGTGCACACCCATGCAAAAATTGATGTCTCTTTCTCTCTCTCTCTCTCTCTTTTTCTTTCTCCTTCTCTATGTCAGCAGTCAGCGAACAAATAAAATTCTCTCTCTCTCTCTCTCTCTCTCTCTCTCTCTTTCTCTCTTTCTCTCAAAGGAAAATAATTTCTCGGACTCTCGATTTTTTTAATTCGTCCAACTAATCTCAAAGGAGATATTAGAACGTCCCAGATCGAAGAGAAACGAGCCAATCGAGGTCGATCGAACTATTCATCCTCTCTTTCTTTCTCTCTCTTTTTCTATCTCTCTCTCTCTCTCTCTTTCTCTTTCTATCTATCTATCTATCTCTCTTTTAGAACACCAGATTCTCACATAAAACCTGCGTTACGAGAACTGGCTCGGTCGAGGCTTCTCGAGAACAAAGCACACCTACGTGACCCGTGGCGGAATCACACGCGAGTTGGCACGACTAGGGACCTCTGTGTCATGTCATCTGACTTTTGAAAAAAATCGACTACCTTTATAAAAACCAAAAAAAAAAAAAAAGGAAAAAGAAAGAAAGAAAGAAAAGAGAAAAACAAACTAACGCCGAAGAAAACTCAACACACCGGAAGGTATCTTAAGCGTTCGAACAGAAGGAAAAATCAAAAAATTGAAGAAAAAGAAAAGAAAAGGAAAAAAAAAAACAGACACACACACACACACACACACAATAATAATAATAATAATAATAATAATAATAATAATGAAAAAAAAAATTCCGACGAAACAAACGATCGAGCACAGGTGATTGACCTCTCTTGTTCGAGGAAAGAAAAAAATAAAGGAAGAAAAAAAAGGAAAAAAAAAAGAAAATAAAAAAAAAATAAAAAAAAAAAAAATAAAAGAACAGGATAAAATGAAGAAAGAAAAAAGTGGGGGGGGAGGAAAGAGTGAAAAAAATAAGAAGAAGAAGAGAAATAACCAGAAGAAAAAAATGAAAAAAAAGGAAAAAAGTAAAGAGATAAAACGACACCAATGACTACGACGATCAACGGTGATCTCGCGGACAACGAACTCGAGCAACCGGCAACCGAATGCAGGAAGCGGTAGACCAGGACTCTGAGAGTCCACCTGCTCGCTAGTCGACCAACTGGTTGTGGTATATTCTGTATGCGCACCTTTGGTAGGGATTACTACTACTACTACTACTACTACTACTACTACTACTGACTACTACTACTACTACTCCTTTGCCTGCCACCACGCTACCTGATTCTCCACCTCCTCTCCTTCTCTCTTCACCTGATATTGTTCAAGTCCGGGAGAGACTCGCCGGATACGGCCCTGTTGTTTCACACAGAACTCTGCTTCACATCTCCGCGGATATCCGTGTCGATTGTTATTAACGAAATATCTATTGGAAAATCATCGATAATCATTATCATATCGTATTTTAAATCAATCGAATATATTATATATATATATATATATAGCGATCATATTTTTGTAATAAGACGATTAATCTCTTACGATCGAATTTATAATCTATTCAAAATCTATAAAATTATTTAAATAGCTAAAAATTTTTCAGAGTTTATAAATATTACTAAACAAAAATTTTTTCAATTATATTATTAATTATTCGTTAAATATGATTTATTCAATCATCGATCATTATAACATCGTCATAGATTTATATATTACTTTTATTTGTTTACATATCGTTCAATCGTAATAATACTTCTTTCTTTTCTCTTTTTTCTTTTTTTTTTTTTTCTTTTTTACAATGACATTTAACGTTCGAGAAAATATTCTTCAAATGCATTAGAAACGATTGAAAATTATGATATCGAGACTCTGGTGTTACATGTATCCTCCTTACATTTTTTTTTTTTTTACGTTATTATTTATTAAAGATTAAAACGATTAATCGTAATCGTAAATCAATGATTTGAACGTTAGTTTCTTTCTAGGTTTAATATTTATCTGAAATATATTCGTGATTTCATAGTTCGATCATAGTGATGATGATCAGGAGAATTGGGAGGTTGGA